GGTAACCAATCCGAGTGGAGCCTTGGGTCACGGCAGAAAGAGAGGGAGCTTCGGTGGGGCCACTCTGACTTATTCGGTTTAAGGGCTCACTGAAGTCTGCAGCGTCTGTTCACCAGTAGGTGCGGCTGCAAGCGGATGTCTGCTTGGAGCAAGCGGCTCGCTATATAAACGTGTATTTGGTTGCGAAACCACCCCCGCCCCAGCAATGGGTTGTGCGCTGGGCTTGGGACCCGCCACGTAAAAACCATTTCCAGTGAAGAAGCAAGGCAAAGCCTCGGATGAGACCCCCTCTTATGATGACGACCACGGCAAACGTTTAAAGGACTACGATTTGAGGGCATGCACCTGGAATGTCCGGACCCTTAATGGGGAAGGTGCCTCTGCCCGGCTGGTTGATGTCCTCGTAAGGACAAAAGCTGACATCACCGCCATCCAAGAAATGCGTTGGACGGGGCAAGGCAAACAATGTCTGGGGCCTTGCGACGTCTACTACAGCTGCCATGTAAAGGAGCGCAAATTCGGTATTGGATTTGTGGTAGGAGAGAGACTCCGTCGCCGAGTACTGTCGTTCACCCCGGTGGACGAGCGTCTAGCCACAATCCGCATCAAAGCGAGATTCTTCAACATCTCGCTCATCTGCGCTCATGCCCCGACGGAAGAGAAGGATGAGGCATCCAAGGATCTCTTCTATGAGCGCTTGGAGCGTACGTACGAGCGCTGCTCCCGTCATGATATCAAAATCGTGCTTGGCGACTTCAATGCCAGGGTGGGCAAAGAAGGGATCTTTGGAACCACCGTCGGAAAATTCAGCCTCCACGACGAAACGTCCGACAACGGATTGAGGCTGATCGACTTCGCCGGGGCCCGAAACATGGTAGTATGCAGTACTAGGTCCAAGCATAAAAAGATCCATCAAGCTACCTGGTTGTCTCCGGATCGAAAAACGAGAAACCAAATCGATCATGTTGTGATAGACGGAAGGCACGCTTCCAGTGTTTTAGACGTACGCACACTCCGAGGCCCAAACATAGACTCGGACCACTATCTTGTTGCAGCCAAGATACGCACCCGCCTCTGTGCAGCAAAAAATGTGCGCCCAAATATGCAAGGAAAGCTTAACGTCGAAAAGCTGCAATCACAACAGACAGCCAGCGCTTTCGCTACTCGACTCTCACACCTGCTTTCAGAGAGCACTCTTCAACAAACCGACATATACGAGCAGCGGAACCACATTTCCCGCTCATTAAGTACCGCCGCCGAAGAAGAAGTCTGATTTCAGCGAGCCCGAAAGAACAACTGGTACGATGAGGAGTGTCAGGAAGCTGCAGAGAAAAAAGATGCCGCCTACAGGGCCACGCTGCGATCGGGCGCAACGCGCGCTATGTGGGACCGCTATAGGGATCTGAAGAGGGAAGCGAGACGAATTTGCCGCAACAAGAAGAGAGAGGCAGAAATACGTGAGTGCGAAGAGCTTGAAATGCTGGCCGACAGGAGGAATGCCCGAAAATTTTACCAGAGAGTTAGGCGACTTACGGAAGGTTTAAAGACCGGGGCGCACTCCTGTAAGAACAATAATGGCGAACTAGTAACTGATGTCCAGAGCGTACTTAAATTATGGAGGGAACACTTTTCCGCCCTACTAAATGGTAGCAGCACGGAAAGTTGTGGAGAAGAAGAACCTGAGCCCGCAGTCGATGATGACGGAGTCGACGTTCCACCGCCTGACTATGACGAGGTACGTGTAGCAATAATGCGGCTGAAAAACAACAAAGCCGCTGGAGCTGACAGCCTGCCAGCTGACCTATTCAAGTACGGCGGCGAGGAGTTGATAAGGTGCATGCATCAACTCTTGTGCAGAATATGGTCAGATGAACGCATGCCCGACGACTGGAATTTAAGTGTGCTCTGCCCAATCCACAAGAAAGGTGACCCCGCCATTCGCGCCAACTACCGCGGTATCAGCCTTCTAAGCATAGGTTACAAGGTCTTATCGAGCGTATTGTGTGAAAGACTGAAGCCCACCGTCAATGAACTGATTGGGCCTTATCAGTGTGGCTTTAGGCCTGGCAAATCCACCATAGACCAGGTATTCACAATACGCCAAATCTTGGAAAAGACCCACGAGAAAAGGATCGACACTCACCACCTATTTGTCGACTTTAAAGCCGCTTTTGACAGCACTAAAAGGAGTTGCCTATACGCCGCTATGTCTGAATTTGGCATCCCCTCAAAACTCATACGGCTGTGTAAAATGACGTT